AGAGGTTTTCAGGACATTGGACATCAGGCCAAGGAAGACAGTCACCTTTCAAACAAGATAAACAAACAAACAAAACACAAGGTGAACTCTGTGATGAACAGCTGTGATTAACAGCTTGATGCATAGAGACCATGTCTGAGTCATGGCACAGCAGGGTGATCCTAGCACAGCCTGCTGGTGCCCTTCTGGTGACACAGGACTTCAGAGCCCAAGGGCTTCAGCAGCCAGAGTTTGTAGGGCGAATACAGGAGAAGAGGGAACTGAGCGTAAGACCATAAATGTCGAGGTTTGTTTTATCTGTTTAATGAATTGTTGTTATTAATATCATTAAAATGGTTCTCTGGATTCTTGAAATACTATTTGCCCTGAATTCTATATTATTCTTGCAGTTTTATATGGCTACTCCAGGGTTCACTTAATTATTAGAATGATATATCATTTCCCATCCTTTTACTTTTAGCCTGTTTATGTCCCCATACTTCAAGTGGGTTTTACATAGACAATGAACATTAGTGTCTTGGTGTTTGAGTTAAAATGATAATCTTATAATTGGACTATTTAAGCCATTTAATTTAATGTAATTATTGACAGAGTTGGGTTTTATATTTACCTTTTTGTTTCCTATTTTCTCACTTGTGTTTTTTTTTTAATTATTTTTATTCTTCCTTCTCTTGAGCTTTATACATCTAAGCAGTTTCTAGTTAAAGAATGGTAGCTTGCAAAGTAAAATTGTGATCTAAAATGATTCTCTTTTTAATTTATTTACACATGACAGTACAATGATCTTGACATATCATACATTTGAATCAAATGGGGTATAATTTCTCATTTTTCTGAGTGTACAGGTTGCAGAATCACATTGGTCATACAGTCACATATATACATACAGCAATACTAGTGTCTATTTTATTAAAATGATTCTCTTTATTATGAACATTTTATTGTGAAAAAGTCAAGCATTTGGATACTAAGAAATCATTCAGAAAGAACATATTTGATTCCTCAATTAAAAGAAGAATACTTCCCTGTTAGTACAGCCTGGAAAGGAAACAAGTAGACCTGCAGGACAGGAGTAAAGACCAAGAAGATGTAGAGAGAGATGGATGTAGATAGAGATGTACACACAATTTTGACATTTGGATCCCTAGGTTGGAGTGTACATAAGACTTTGCTCCAAGAGCTTTCCAGTTCATTTCCTGACATAGCATTACTCTTTCAGAAACTTTATTTTGACTGTAGCACATGATAAGACATACTGATTTTTCACCCTGTTCCCCTTGCGTATTTTTCTTTAAATGTCTTACACCCTGTCTTGTCTTTCCCCTTATGTCTCCTGGAGGCAATACCGCAAAGTTCTAAGTTGAAAGAAAAGAAGCACTGGTTTTGTAGGTCTTACCTTACTTACTCTGAAGTAAATAATCAGAGAAAATAATAATTTTAAAAACAAAAATGGACAGAAAGAAAAACAAAAGGAGGCAGTTAGAGCCAAAGCCCGAAATCATTCTAGGCCAAAGTCAATTAACAACTTTACATGTGTTATTTACCTCTATGAGGGACTGCAATTCCACTGGCACTGGAATCGTGCAGAAATGTGAATGCTCTTAAGACACTGATGCACACTGCTCAGAAATGAGAGGAATAGGGATTTATCAAGCCTTCCCCAATGGGCTGTCCATCCACAGTGATGATTTCTGAGGTCTACTTCATTTGGATAAGCTTTCTGATTTTATGTATTGATGCATAATGCTAAGTGAAGGGAGAGGGAGAAAAATAATAATAAATGACTTGTGGGCTATATCATATGCAGATAAAAGGAGAGCCCATGAACAGAATGTCCAAGGTATCCCTAAAGAACAGGAAGGTAGGCACGTACATATCATGTTATAAAATGTATCTTCAATATTAAAATTAGTCGTATTATTAAGTTGCCCAATTTAACTGCTAATTGAGGTATTGCTGAGGAATTCCACTTACATCCTCAATGAATTTCTATTATTTCTGTTTCTGAAGGTCACACAAGAGGGAATAATCATCACAAGAGTGTTTTTCTAATTATATTGTTTTCTAGAAATGCTTGGCAACTTTACATATATGACAACCACTTTTAAAAAATGCCACTAGGACTAAGGAGTTTAAAACAAAACAAAAAAAAAGTTAACTATGGTTCATAAAATATGCAATAAGGTGCTTGGAGTAAGATTGAAAAATAGGAAGAAAAGGTATGCTCCCAGCAGACAAATTATTGCTGACATTTTAAATAATACCAAGACCTCAATCCATTTTGCATGTCAAAGAATAGGCATTTAATTTGTTCAGGTTACTTGGTTAAGTCTTATATTTCTTATGGAACAAGTTCAAGGATATTTAAAATAAAATGAAAATCTATATTATTATAGAAAGGGAAGTGACTGATAGTTGACTTTTCCAATCAGATTAAGGTAAGAAAATTACATGCAGTAAGTGAGTCCCTATCATAGTTTCATTGATACAGCTTTTTTTTTTCTTTTTCAGAAAATAGAAAAAAAATCAAAATATTAGCCAACTTGTACTTAGAGGTTATCCACCTGACTGCACATAAAATTAAATTCTGTATTTCTACTTGTCCTAATTGGTGAGGTTTAACTAATTGTAACATCTCTGAATTTTCCTTAAGATAAATTCTATCGCACTGAACTGCTGATGTTTAATGTATGGAGGTCATCTAATGTGTTACTGAGTCTCTCTCTCATGGCAAGAGGTATAGACAGAACTGCATTCAATATGAAATACAACTCCACAGATCAAGTGGAGTTGACAATATTCCGTTACGGCATTTCACTTATATGAACATTATATAACTGAAGTATATAAAGTTCAGTTAGCTTGAAAAATTTCAAACTTTAAGAGAATTTGTGCCCAGCACCGTGGCGAATGCCTGTAATCCTAGCAGTTTGGGAGGCTAAGGCAGGGCGATCAAGAGTTCAAAGCCAGCCTTAGGAATTTAGCGAGGCCCTAAGCAAGTCAGGGAGACCCTGTCTCTAAATAAAATACAAAAAGGGCTAGCAATGTGGTTCAGTGGTTATGTGTCCCTGGGTTCAATCCCTAGTATCAAAAACAAAAACAAAAACAAAAAGGAAGAGAGAGAAGAAATTACAAATACCCTTACAGAACATCAAAAGGAATAATTTTTGCAATAATATTTAGTTTTCTTTAGTTATTTTGTAAGTAAAAATTTCCTTTTATGGTATGGTTAGGTGGAGAAGTTTTTCATACACTTTTATATTTTAATTCATGCCTTAATTCTTACGTAGAGAAGGAAAGAGAAGAGAAAGGGACAGATTGAAAGAGAGAGAGAGAAAGATTAAAATATGAAGTGGTTATACAGAAACATGAGGCTCTTTGGAAAGATATTTTAATTTTATTTTTTCTTCTTTTCTTTTTTTTATAAGTGAGGAAGAAAGCAAATTAAGTTTTAAAAGAGTTGATACCTCAAGTACAAATATTACCTAAAAGAGTGAATTGTGCTGATCTAACCTATCCTGATCAGATTTTTTTTTTTTTTAATATGAGGGATTGAACCCAGGGAACTTAATCACTGAGCTATATCCCCCAGCCCATTTTTCTTTTTTCTTTTGAGATGGGGTCTCACTAAATTGCTTAGGGCCTCACAAATTTGCTAAGGATGGCTTTGAATTTGTGATCCTCCTACCTTAGCCTCCTGAATTGCTGTGATTACAAGTGTGTGCCACCACATCTTACACATTTTTGGATACCACTTCGGGATAGCTTATATTTGTGAAATAAAACTTACTAAAGCTTTTGCTAGTCTAGAATATTATCTACCACTAAAGTGTGCAATCAATCACAATGGACTATCATAAGCTGTCTAGCTTATTTCCAAGTTATTATAGAAACATAGATATGTAAAATCAAGATAAATTGGGCCTTAGAATGCCTACATTGTTAACCATTAGACAAATAACTGAAAGCTTATTTTTGAGGCAAAAAAAAAAAAAAACATCTGAGTCTCAGCCAATCACAGCAGCACAGCTTTATTCAATCTCAGATGGCCAACAGTTCAAACTGTGTTCAAATAAAGCAAGCACAGAGTTGTAATCAGTTAGCTGCTTCTCTATGTCATTTAAATTTACTTAAATGCTTTCAGATCTCGTTGTGACCCTGTGGCTGGTTCTGAGAGCTGCCCAATTCTAGAATCACAAATAAAAGTTGATTAAGATCAGTAAGACTAGATGCTTTGCAGGTTTGTCTTTTTATGGAACATTAAATGAATTGATAAAAGGAACAAGTGTATGTTCACGCATCAAAGATAAATGAGTTTCTCACTGGGTCCTGCTGATTTGTTAACATGGGGTGACAATGATTCAACTCAGATTGAGGAAAGTCATGTTCAAGTTTGCTGAGCTTATAGCTAGGGGGCTTCTACAGGTTAAGGGCTCAGTGCCACAAGACTGTTCCTCACTTCAGATGCCAATAGAAAATTTCAAGTTGCAACCTGTACTTCTAACGACCTGCTGGAGTTCCTGTGACCACCGTCTTTGGAATGAATTAATTTGTCAGAGTGGCTCAGAGAATTTAGGAAACATTTTACTTATGTTAACTAACTTACTATAAAGGATATTGCAAAGGATACAGCCAGAGAGCCGATTAGATGAAACACATAGTGTGAGGTATGAGAGAAACAGCCTAGAGTCCCCTGCCTTCTCTCAACACACCAACCTCCAGGGACCTCCTCATGGTCAGCTGTCCAGAAGTTTTCTGCACACTGTCATTTTGGGGTCTGTTTTATTCAGCCCCCAAAATACCTGACCAAAAATAATTTTAGAGGAGGAAAAGTTTATTTTGGGGCACATGGCTTCAGAGGTCTCAGTTCTTAGATGGCCTATTGTATCATCTCAGGGCCTGAGATGAGGTAGAACATCAGGGCAGAAGTGAGTGGCAGAGGAATACATCTGGGAACATGGCACCAGGAAGCAGAGACTGATTCTATCTTCCAGGGACAAATATATACCCCAAATGCATGCCCCCAATGACCTTCCCACCTTCAGTTATGACTCAATTCATCCTTATCAGGGGATTAATTCACTGATTGGGTTAAGACTCTTATAACCCAATCATTCCACCTCTAAACCTTCTTGCTTTGTCTCACATAGGAAATTTGGGGAGAAACCTCACATCTGAACCATAACAGAACCTTATGGAAGTTTCATTACATAATTATGATAAATTAAACCATTGACCACTGGCTAGCAACTCCCACTCTAGCCCCTGTCCCCTCCTAGTTCTGTCTCATGACAGGGCCAAGAAGTAATGACACCACAGTAGCCAATAAACACACCCAGAACCCCAATTTTGGTTTCTAAATACCATTCTCTAATAAGAAGAGTTAGGACTGCTGAGATCACGTCCACCCAGCGAGTACAGTCCCCTCGCCGTTCCACCGCTGCCGGTCCACACTGGCCACGGATTTTGCCATGGAAGACTACATCGATATCGCCGCGCTCGTCCTTGACAATGGCTCAGGCGTGTGCAAGGCCGGCTTCGCGGGTGAGGACGCCCCCCGGGTCGTCTTCCCCTCCATTGTCGGGCGCCCCCGGCACCATGGCATGTTGATGGGCATAGGCCAGAAGGATTCCTACGTGGGTGATGAGGCCCAGAGCAAGAGAGGCATCCTGACCCTCAAGTACCCCATTGAGCATGGTGTCGTCACCAACTGGGATGACATGGAGAAAATCTGGCACCACACCTTCTACCATGAGCTGCGCGTGGCCCCCGAGGAGCACCCTGTGCTGCTGACCGAGGCCCCACTGAACCCCAAGTCCAACCGTGAAAAGATGGCCCAGATCATGTTCGAGAGCTTCGGCACCCCGGCCCTGTACGTGGCTCTCCAGGCCGTGCTGTCCCTCTACGCCTCTGGCCGCACCACCAGCATTGTGATGGACTCTGGCGACGGGGTCACCCACACAGTGCCCATCTATGAGGGGTATGCCCTCACCCACGCCATCTTGCGCCTGGACCTGGCCGGCTGGAACCTCACGGGCTACCTCATGAAGATCTTGACCGAGCGTGGCTACAGCTTCACCACCACAGCCGAGCGCGAAATCGTGCGCGACATCAAGGAGAAGCTGTGCTACGTGGCCTTGGACTTCAAGCAGGAGATGTCCACGGCGGCCACCAGCTCCTCCCTGGAGAAGAGCTACGAGCTGCCCGACGGCCAGGTGATCACCATCGGCAGTGAACGGTTCCGCTGCCCAGAGGCGCTCTTCCAGCCTTGCTTCCTGGGCCTGGAATCCTGCGGCATCCACGAGACCACCTTCAACTCCATCCTGAAGTGTGACGTCGACCTTCGCAAGGACCTCTACGCCAACACAGTGCTGTCCGGGGGCACCACCATGTACCCAGGCCTTGCCGACAGGATGCACAAGGAGATCTCGGCCCTGGCGCCCAGCACCGTGAAGATCAAGATCGTGGCTCCCCCCGAGCGCAAGTACTCCGTGTGGATCGGCGGCTCCATCCTGGCGTCACTGTCCACCTTCCAGCAAATATGGATCAGCAAACAGGAGTACGCCGAGGCCGGCCCCTCCATTGTCCACCATAAATGCTTCTAAGGCAGACTGTTACTTTGCTTTTCTGGACAAAAACCTAACTTGCTCAGAAAACAAGATGAGATGGGTATGGCTGTGTTTGTTCTCTTTTTTTTTGTTTTGATTTTTACTTTGTTTTGTTTTGTTTTGGCCGCATTGGACTCGGATTTAAAAACTGGAGCGGGAAACCGTACAGGAAGGTGACAGCATTGCTTTTATGTAAATTATGAAATATGATCTTTTAAAAGTCTTGCCTTAATACTTTTTGAATTTTGTTTTATTTTTGAATGGTCAGCCGTCGTGAATCCCCTCTTTTTGTCCCCCAACTTTAAAGATGTATGAAAGTTCTTTGTCTTCCTGGGAGTAGAGGAGGGATTACCTGTACAGTCTTCCGACCAGTTCAGTAAAAATACACACCTAAAACCAAACAAACAACCAAAAATAAAGAATCAGGGATCCTCCCACAGATGGATGATTCTAGATCTGAGAAAAGGAAAATACATTATAAGCTTCTCACATCTGGTTACCCCAAATGGTAAAAAGTCCCGTGAATGAAAGAAAACTTGGATGCAGGTCAGAATGCAAAAGCTTCAAAGAATGACCAACAGAATGAAAAACAACAAAATTGAATTATAACATAAGGAGTAAAATAAACATAAGTCCATTTTTGTAAATAAATTGACAACAAACACAATAATGGAGAAGAATGGATATATTTTCCTTATATTAGAATTCCAAATAATAATACATTGGAAAATGGGGGAAATAGAAAATCACAATTATGATTAATAATTATTCCTCAGTAATTATTAATGCAGGCAATATACCCTGAGGAATACTCAAATTAGTGGGCAAAATTTTAGGAACATATAGGATATTTGCAGAGCTTGTAAATATCTCTGATCAAATGTGTAATTATTATTGTTGTGGATTTAACCTATGTCTGCAAATTATTTGATATTCCCCTCTCTAGAAAGTAAAGATTAATTCCCTTCCCTGAGTGTGGGTTGGACTTAATCATTTCTACCAAATGTAATAGGGAAAGGGCATAATATTCTTGTTAAGAAATATGTGACAAAACTGCAAATAAATTACAGACACTCCCTTAACCAAGCAATCATATCTAATGTCATCGGTAATGAGCCAAGGGGATATCATGTCACAAATACTCAGATGTCCACTAGAAAGAGCTTCCAAAGAACAAAGCTGGAATAATATGAGCAACTAAAGTAACATGCATTGATGGTCACTTCTCTTCTATAGTCTTTTTTCCAAAAATCCATAATCAAAGTTTAAAAATGTCACTAGCCAAATCTACAATGAGGGGCAGTCAAAACACACATGACCAGTACTTTTAGAAGTGTCAAGTTCATGAAAGGCAAGGAAGACCATAAGAAACATCACAGATCGAATCTCATGAGAACTCAATGTGATATGACATACAGGATCCAATACTGGACAAGAAAAAGGACTTAGTGGGAAAACAATTGAAATCCAAATAGAATGTGGTTTAGTTAACAGAATTTATATTAAGGTTTAACGTCTTAGTTTTGATAAATGTACTATGGTTACTTAAGAGGTTAATATTAGAGGAAACTGGATGAAAGATATACAGGAATTTATTATCTGTGAAACTCTTCTGTAGTCTAAATTATCTACAATAATTTAAAAATAAAAGTCAAATTTAAAAAGTTACTTTCCAAGAATGCCTTTTAAACTTGTTCCAGCCCCCATGGGTCTTGTTCTTCAAACCCTTATTCTGATGGAGTTTTCTCATATTTTGTTGAAGTGTTCTACATTTAGATTCATGGGGGATATTGATTGTAATTCCTTTTCTTATTGAGTCATATGGCTTTGATATTAGACCAATTATGTTTGGAAATTTTCTCTTCACTCAGTTCTTTGGAAGAATTTGAGAAGGAGTGTTGCTAAATGTAATGCTTTTTAAAATTGTCTGGTAGAATTCATCAGTAAAACCAGGCCTTGCAAAGTCAGCGACAAATGGCATGAGTGGACATTTTTTTACTGTGTGTTCAGTATACACTTCTCCTTAAAGTAGAAAACAATCCCATATACTTTCAGTGTAAATCACTGTTTCTTAACATTGTCACTATTAAATCTTGGACCATATATATAAATCTTTTTTTGTAGGAGTTTGTCTGTATATTGGATTGTTGGTTTCTTCCCACAGCTATTAGGACCCAAATACCCCCAAACACTACTAAATATTCCTGGAAGGGCAAAATTTCCCCTCGGTTAAGACCCACTAATGGAAATTGACCTTTTAACATAAGGTTGTTTGTCAGTATTTCATACGATAAAGTTTTGGATGAGAGTTCTTTCAAATTGAGCAGTGGTTATGTGCAAGAATGGTTAGCAAAACAGTTCTTGAAGGTGGAAATTTTGTCTATATTCATGTAATATACCCAAAGATTAGCACATAATCAATGGTCAGGAATGTATTTGTGAATTAACCAAAATGTAAATTAAGTCAGAGAAGGTCTTTAGCTTGTAAACAGGTCTTAGTAGTTTTCTTTAAATTCCTTGTGAATGTATTCTTTGGGAGAAGGATTAGACTTCTATTTGACATTATGTTTGCATCCCAGAGCAGTCAATATAACTTGAGTCAAAGGAGTATCATTTAGAATAAGGAAATATGCTATATGATCTCTGCAGTTTTAATTCTATCAACATATCCTTTCTTATCTAGAGTAGGAATCTACAATCTCTTATTCACCATCATTTTTTTCTGCAAGCAAAGTGACTGCTAAAGAGTTGACACTTTTTTTAAAGAGAGAGAGAGAGAATTTTTTTAATATATATATATATATATATATTTAGTTTTCGGTGGTCACAACATCTTTATTTTATTTTTATGTGGTGCTGAGGATAGAACCCAGCACCCTGCGCATGCCAGGTGAGCATGCTACTGCTTGAGCCACATCTCCAGCCCCAAGAGTCGACATTTTCAATTACGTAAGTGCATGTTGGATAAGCTTAGAAATTTTCAAATGTAGTAGGCTTCCCACTATTATAATCATTTTGGCCCTCCATTAGTGATTACACAATGTGGGTCTCATAAGAGGGGAATCAGGCATAAGATTAGGGGTGAACTAGATTTGTAGAAGGCTATTTTTCTAATGTGACTGTGAGCTTTTAGAATATCACTTAATTTGTGCTCTAATTTTCCTAATCTTTACAGGGGTTTTAGAAAAAATCTGTGCTCAAATTTACAGAGAATTCCTGGAAAAATTAAGATCCAAGTCAGGTGAGAAACTAGATCTCTCATGCTGGCACCATGACATAAACCTCTTATTAAGTTTTGAAGGCACTGGAAATTCCTTTCCTGTATTCTCCTTGCAGACATCCCACTCTGACTCTGCCCCGTTATATAAATTTCAGAATTTGCAGTTTCCTCAGACCTGAGGTAGGAATTCCACTTTATTAGGGACTAACTGAATGAAGTTTTCTTCCTAAATGTTGGCTGATTATGATGTACCTTGGGGGGAATATGCCACAGAAGCCAAGCCATAAACAGTAAAATTTAAGTTGTTAAGTATTGTTGAAGTGTTGCTCCAAAGTGCCGTATGAGAATTCTGCATTGTGGTGTGAGCATTCTCGTCCTTGTGGATACATTCACAGAGCAAACCAAGAGCAATAATAGCAGTGTCTTCAGAGCTTTCCAGCTCCCAGAGCACTTTTATCTGGGGACAAAATGACACCAGTTGAAATTCCTTTTCTGGTGGAAATATTCTGTTATTAGAAGACATCCCCAGAGCAGCATCGTCTGTCACCACAGAAGAACATTTTCCTTTTATTTATTTTTTATTTTTTTTATTTTTTTACATTTTCCTTTTAAAAATAGCACCTGCTGAGCTCTTTTTAATCTGCCTGGAAATGATTGTGTGCCATTTGGGCATTTGCCTGTTCACTTAATCTCCCATGCACATATTGCTGAACAGAAACGTAATTTACTGTTTTCATTTTTTCTTAATTTAAATATATTATCAGCTTTTGAGTGCAAACAGAAATAACAATTAGCAGAAAATAATGGTTGCAGCAAGCTAAAAGATCTGCAATGGAGACTGTAGTAGAGTGTAAAAAAAGTAGCTGCAATATTTTTCAGTGTCTTCTATTAAAAGATGGGATTTGAAATCCCCAATGAAAGATGCCACTGTTTTGTGGCTTAAATTCGCCTGTGTGGTACACTTGACCTTGTTCAGGTTTATGTGTAGCTTTGGCTTTTACTACCTTCATATCCGTGTATTCTTGTGAAGAAGCTGAAACTTGAGGTCCCCATTTTTGCCGCAGCTGACAACCTGCCAAATGTCTGACTTGGGAGTGAGTCCATTGTAGGTCACCCAACTGCCAGTCAATCTGCCAGCTACTGTCAGCTAACTCATAACCCAGCTGAGCTCAGCCAAAGGAACTGTCCAATCAACCCCCAGAATTTTGAGCTAAAAATGTGTGATGTTTTCAGTTACAAAATTTGAGTATGGTTTATTATGTAGCAAAGGGTAACTGATACAGAAATGAGGCACTACAAGAACAGATTTAGATCTTATGTGGGTTTTTTCCCCCCTCCTCTTTTAGAATATAACCTTACCTGCAATAACCTCAACTATTTTGTTCCTGGCTATATCTCCCAATATCTAGAATGGAGCATGGAAAAGAATTAGTGAACTCAGTTTAGGGACAAATACTTTCAGCATGGTAATGTCTTAATTCTACAAGATCCTATCTTTTTTTTTTTTTAAAATATTTTATTCTCAAGCTTTAGGTGGATTCAATACCTTTATTTTACATTTATGTGGTGCTGAGGATTGAACCTGGTGCCTTGTGCTTGCTAGGCGAGCACTCAACCACTGAGCCACAACCCCAGCCCCAAGATCCCATCTTTTTATACCCTAAGAAAACTGTTTTTGAAGGGCAACCTCCACTTCCCAGTTCTTGTTGCGTACACTTTGAGTCTTTCTTTCATCCTGAGTTTAAACCACACACAACAAGTTATCAGGCAGCCTGTCCTCTTCTTCTCCCCCTACTTTCCCCTCTCTCCCTCTCCCCTACTCTCCCCCGACAGCTCCTCTCTTTTTCTCCCTCTCTCTCTCCTCAACTCCCTCTGTTTATCAACAAAGTAGAAGTTAATATCTAGTATGTCTTACCCCAGTCCTCACCAATGAAAGGCAACTGGTTACAATGGTTTTAGAGTTTGGCTGCTGTCAACCATAATATTTAAAGGTGTTTGTTTTGAATGGGGAAAA